TAAGTTTATGGCGTGAGAACTTGTGGACGAACTTGGAGCACGAGGCGACAGAATCTCCATGTAGGCTGGGGACTGTACTTGGAGCCTACCGACGTTGAGATGACCTTCCGAGACCATTGCGCAGATGTAGCTAGGACGTCGACCTACCTACCCGAGACTTGGTCAAAAGCAATTTGCTTTCGGGATGTAGTCTGCTCACAGGTTCCGCCTCGATCTCAATAATTGACATGTTGTAAGGACCACTTCCGTATATAAGCTAATTATTTCATCTTTAAAGAGCCGGCAGGGTTGAAACAGTCCGGCTGCGCTGCATGCACCATATACGCTTTCGGGGTTATAAAAATTGAGATAGTTGTTGAGATAATGAACCCTTCAAGCCAAATTGAAGCACTAACGGCCATCGTGCTTGGTGCTCGAGAGCACAAAGGCGTCCATAGTGGCGTTTTTAAGGTGACACATGCCATCTTGGAGTGGAAATTTTTATGCGATTGCCACCAATAGCGACCCTTTTCTGCAGTATATTTTTATCTAAATAAATTTCCTTCATGTCGGAATATTTCGCAGGAATATAAACAAAAAGTAGAAGACCTTCTGTTTTCCAAACTTCAGCTGTAGTATGTACAGCACAAAGTTGTGAACAAGGACTCATGACATCTTCAACTTTAAATGAATATGTTGACGTTCTGGTCGTTCTGGGTGCATAATTAACCGGGTCGTAAATTCTGACCACACCGTGACGTTGCATTTATTGAGTTCAGTCACATTTAAAGTGTTGCAAACGAATTGCGAACATCTATGTACCCTTAGCACCGGATGTTTGCTATCCAAGACTTGTGTATTATCCCTCCTCGTGTTTGAAGGAAATTAATATATTACAGCATGGTTTCATAAATCTGCAAAGCTAATTGCCCATACTTATGGATTTATTCTATCTTCCTGTCGCATGCTGTACACCAGACATCTAATATTTCGAGTCAATGTTTTAGAACACATTAGGAATTAATCCATCACATTAAGTAGGTGCATTTTTTATAATCAGTACAAATTGTAGGGGTATCTCTTTGATCGATAATTGGACAATAAAATAAGAGGAGAAGAGAATCTAAACAGTGAAATAAATTTAATATCTGATCTTGCAGACTAATTATGGCATGTACGGCATGTACATTACATTGTGTACGTAAACCTAGCCTCATATACAAATGCATTACACTTTTGTGTATCCAGAGGCAGCAAAGTTTCGATTTAAACATGACGATGGGTGCAGCGGGGCTGCCGTAGCTCTTTGCTTAAAGGATGTTAAGCTAAGGTCACCGATATTACGTTCTTCAAAAGAACCAGTACGAGTGCAGTGGATCGCAATGCGCTGCCTCCATAAGTACTTAAAACCTTAGCCAAGGTAAATGAACTATTCCGTTCAAAATTGAAACTGTATTGAATTATATTAGTTGCGGTAGAGCCACCAATATCTAAAACCCTGGGTTTTTCTAGTTAATACAGCAATTTCTATATAATATAGTAATATGCGTTACTACTAGCAATCCTGCCACCTGGTGGTGGCTTCTTGTGACGGTAGCCGCATCATTGTGTGATTGTACCAACTTGTGTAATCCACACCTATGTACAGTCACACTATCCGCCCTTTCATACAAGGGTACGTGTAACCCCGTTACAATGGGATTCTTTGAGTATCAGGATTCTTTAAGTAAGAAAATGTGGGCTGTTAGGATCACGTCAAGTATTCAGTAATTCAATTTGTTTATATATTAAACGCTTATTTTGTGAAATTGCTGAAATAAAATTAGTTCTAGATATATGCCATCCATGGAACAAAAGCGCACTAGTTACAATATAGGGTCTCGAATACGCACCTGGGGGATGTGTATTAGCCCTTCCTGTGTGTGTTTGTCAACGCGGACTCTTTCAGTCTATGCTGCCCTGGGACTAGGGGCAATCCCATTGATTAGTTGCCCTAGCAGTCAATCCGACGACAGAGCAGTGAAATGAATGGATATTCGGTAAAAACGGAGCACGACTTCTCGATTCATAGTCCTTCGGACAACGGAAGACGCTTGGGTAAGTTCGTGTCTATCATTTTTTCGTAAGATCAGATGATTGGCGATCAAAGGGCCAAGAAGTGGTGTATCTCTCATCTGGAGACATACCAGCTCTTAGTGCTGGGACGCTAATGTAAAGCATCCAACTATTTGAATGCATGTATGGGAGATATTTCCAGCTGTAGGTGAGGGGAGTTGAGATGGCTACGAGTTGCCATGTTCAGATGTGTCGCACTGGCAGTATCCATCCTGGAAGATCGCGCATGGAAATCAACTCTCTCGTACATTGTCTCTGTAGGATAGGCATATCCGTTATGGAACGTTCAAAGCGATATGGCTGCATCGAATTAACCAAGTGTACAAAGGGTCGGTCAGCTACCCTGACGAGAGACCCACCACGTGTGTTGCCCTTGGATCGAAAAGTGCATGAAATAATTATAATTTTTGGATAAAACATTTTGGAAGTCAATGCCTTACCACGAGAGCGGCGTAATGTCATATACATTTTTTTGCAAAGTCCAATGCGCATTTTGCGAGAGAAAGCACACCTCGTGTCAACTGTGTGGCTCACAAAAGAAAACATCAAAGGTCAAATTGTGCATGCTTATTTAGGCAAGATGTAGCAACTTTTCCGGCGTAAAGCCCAAATTTAATAAAAGGTGCTGTGGAACGGCATGACCGGCTATACTTTGCTTGTAGTTCTTGACCTAGTCGATGGGTATCATCAAACGCTTAACAAGAGATGAGAAATTTTTTCCGACACGGCTTGAGCCTTGCCTCAAGAAAAATTTTACGCGAAAGGGTCCTTCAACCAACTGACCCATATTTTTCTTGCCTATCTCACTGATATCATCCTCTTTAACTGTACAGATCTCTAAGAATCGATTGTGGACATCCGCATCTAATGCATGCGAGTACTGTGCGCGTAAATATGCTAAAACAAGCTGTTCTGGGATAAAGAAAAGTGTGTACTTGGAAAGATGATAGACGTTATAAGCAGTTTGACTTGATATGGTGAAGAATGCGCTTTTGCGTCGCCCCAACAAGAAGTTGTTGTATTTTACAATGGTGAGATCGCGCAAACATGGGGCGGCACACGCAGCATATAAATCCAATACAATATATGATGCTTGCTGAACAGTGTAAGAAGAGAGTGTTTGTAGTTGGATGTCATATTATCAAAGCTCGTAATTACTGGATTGGACCGTTATTGCTTGTCCGAAGACTTCCTGCATTACAACACTGGCAGGCTTGACATCGAACGTGCGCTGATCACCTCATGATAAAATCCTCAGCACAAAATATTATTCGAAGTAAATAAAATCATCTTGGTTGGCCATCGCATATAAAAAGAAGCATTTGGCTTAGTGAACACTCTCCACTGGTAGCTCAACTTGTATCGAGGGGTAAGCACATATGTGCGCACGTACAAAACGTGTCAGCGCTTAAACGTCTCACCGTATGTGTTAGCACCATTGACATATCTGCTGTTTTTAGCGAAGTACTAGTAAAAGGTTATAGACTTCAAGAGGCATCAAATTAATGTGCAGTCCTGAACACAAAAGTTAATGTATCCTTAAGCCACGCTACGATCCTGCTCTTGTAAGCTGCAGCGGGGCTGCCGTAGCTCTTCGCTTAGAGGAAGCTTGCTAAGCTCACCGACCATACGCTCTATACCAGAACCAGTACAAGTTTAGTCCGCTATCTCCAAGAGTTCTTAAGAATCTTTAACTAAGGCAAAGACGCTCTTTCGTTCAAAATTGAACTCTTTTTAATTTTATATTTGCGGTAGAGCCGCCTATACCTAAAACCTTAGGTTTCTTAACTAAATAGAAAACCCTAATTAATATGAATAACTTCTGGCAGTCCTACCACGTCGTGACTTCTTGTTGCGGTGTAGCCACTTCATTGTGTGATTACATTGACTTGTATATTCTACACCTTTGTAAAGTCACCATCTTGTGCGACCCGCCCATTCATACAAGGGTACGTGAAGCTGCGGTTAACTCTCCCCCATCAAAATTGTGAATACCCACATTCATATTTTACTGTGGCATCATACGAGAATCCCGTGACTTAGACACCGTTACGTCCTTAAGAACATCTCATTCCCCCGCTCAATGAGCCCTGTCTCTATGACACGAAAAACACCCAGTCTAGCTGGTTACGAGGGCGCTCGCGGGCAGGCCCCTTCGCTGTCTTCTGCACGGGGTACATCTCCAGACAGTACGATCTCGGCTTCAAGAGAAGCACATCCCAAGCCCTCGGCAACCCCACACACCGCGCCCGCTCCGGGCGACAGATTTTCACGTCGAAGATTCGGAGGAAGTCGACTACGAGTCGGATACACCATTTTTAAAATGGGAAAACGAGGACGGGACATGAGCCCTGCTCGGACCTTGTGGACACATGTCCCTTCCCCAACCTCTCGACTTCCGAAGAAGTGGTATAAATACCAATCGACGCGACGAGGAACAGGGGCAGCAGTTGGAGGCAGCCCACAAGGCGGATCTCATGTGCTCGTATATACGTTCGATCCTAGACCCTCGTGTGGAATTCGGCTACCGCTCGGCGATTCCCGATACTGACGCGAAGACGCGATCAATCGATCGTTAGGCGTCTATGTAGCCGGCCCTCGGCCACTACACAAGCTGAGCTTGACCAGCGGAAAGCTCTCCGAGCTCGCTTCTTGATTCCTCAAGCAATCCCAATAAATAGTTACCGCGCTCGACTTTGAGCTAAAAAGTAGGCGCTCCTGTACCCGCAGTGCGGACTATTCCTGTGGTGCTCATCTTTGACGAAACCGCTGTAAATGATGAGGAGCTCTTTGAGCGATGGGCACAGCAGCACCAAAAATCTTCCTCGCGATCTACTTACAGCAAACCTTACAGCGAAGCCACAAGGAAGTGGATGTGCGCGTTGAATGTCATCTCTGATTTGGGTTTGCCAAACTCATGGCGCAACGCTTCTTGCGTATTATCACCCTGCAACGTATGGAATCATCGATCACGCTTCCGCGAGCTCACAGCGGCTCAGGGCAATAGCTTAAGCTCGGCTCGTGGCTCTCAGGATTCTCGGGCTACTGCGGGGCGCACGACGGCTAGGAGCGTCAGGTCTTACCGATGTGGCACCTCAAAGTCCCACGAGTTCTCGGAGTCGGGTATCCCCGCCA